GTGCAAAGCCACAGTTGGGGTCACAAGAAATGGGTTCACTGTTCGCGTGGGCGAAATCGAACATGGTTCTTTAGCAAGGCGAGCGAACGCCTACACCACCTTGCTATCCAGCTGCCGCTTTATTTACATCAACGTTGTGTTCCGGTTTTTAAAAGTTAATCTAAACACTGAGTTGTATTTAAATGCTCTAACTGCCTTTGACGTTTAGTTTGCCGAGCTTAATGGAAGTATACACGGCAAGAAGATAGTATATTTTATGTTTACTGGTTACCATGGAGAGACTGTTCCTTATATACTGACAACAGCAGTTAGAGATAGATTCTTGACATCTGCCTTGCAAAGAAGCATTTGGCGTTAATTTTTAATACCCAATTGCCTTGAGTAGGGTTAGAAAGAACAGTCCAACATCAAGTCTTTTATCATGTTTATAGAAATAGGAATTATTCATGATTTACCTGTGGAGTAATTGAGGCATACAGGTACGATTTGATTTCGCCCAATCAAGCGAGGATAAACAGTTGGATTCTTCCCAATGTTTATAAAGATTTCATTATTGTTTTTGGCCCCCTTGGCTCATTCTTCAGCGCATCAAAGGTTCCCGCGTGTGTTTAATAGGGCGAATCTTGGCACAGCCATGCGACTTGCCTTGGCTGTTGTTTCAGTGGCTCGCGACTAAGCGCCAACAGAAGGTGCCTGTAAGACCGAAATCTTGCAACTAGGATTTTCGGCAATATTTTGGGAACAATTAGGTCTTTTATGTTTGCATCTTTTGTTTAGGAAAACACTTGAAAGAGGATTCTGTCAATCAGGTGAATTGACAGCCATATGTTCATGCCAACAGTTTACCTGGTTGTTACATAATTCATTGAATTAGGTTGAATTCTAGTTTTTTCTTTACACAAAGATAAATGTTATCTTTTATGCATGGTATTGTATTGTGGAATCAGTGTTAATGGTTTCCACGCCAGGCACGCAAATTTATGCATTCTCTGTTTAAGAATTGCATTAGAGATTAACGAACTTGCGACATGTGAATTGTATCAGCGAGTGTTTTAGAATATTTGAAACTGGACAGTTTAGATGGGCATAAGTCATAGGTGTCAGTATTGTTTATTTCGTGAATTATTGATTGTTATAAATCAGCGACTAAAGTGAATATGATTAGTCCAATGTAATCTTAAAATATCGCCATTTACTTTAATCACGTATATCTTCTCCAGATAATGCACTATTCAGTTGGTCACCTTTCCCACCTTACACTTTGAATGGTGGGGTGGGTGGGTATTGGTAGTATGGGGTAGATTTTCTGAAGTATTGTAGGTAATATTACCGTAAGTAATATTCAAACACTCTCTTGAGTGCATTTTTCATACTTAAAACATGAACGTTCGACTGTTGAGGATCCTGGTGTCGAATTCTAGTTTTCATTTCGAACATCACAGGCCGTGGTACTAGTTTTTGTATCCTCTTGTACCGAGTTAATTAATCTCAGACCCTTAAAACATCCAACTGAAACCATTTTCTTTAATTATTCTTTTATTAATTATATTATTCAGTAATAAAATCCGAAAAAACAAACGTAATATTGCCTCATGTACTATCTACCATGCAGAAGTCGTTTCACAAATTCTCATTTCATACCGAAATCAATAATCTTTCCTTTGATTGGTTCGCAAATGAGTTTGTTTTGGGATTTCGTTGTTGTTGTTTTTAAATCATAATTAAAATGCTGATACAGGTGTCATCAGTATCAATAATGAAAATCGATTCACGTCAAGAAATCACAATTCCTCTTTAATCAACGACACCCATGGGTGTCAGTTTCTCGTAATTAAGATAAGGTGAGTGCTGATCGGAACAAAAACGTTCCTGATTAGTTCTCGAAGCGTTCTTAATCAAGTTAGACACATTTTTCCAATGTAACCTCTCCTGAATAATGAGTTGTATTCTACAAAACATTTACGATAATGATCCTCATCCTCGTGGGAGTTCAAGACAGGTTCGGTTGTCATGGAATAATACTAGAAGGTGCAGAATGTTCGTTTTTGTGACAATATTCCTTGATTTAAAGGTTTGTCCGCTGGCAACTCGACAACAACCTGTAAAAAGTATCAAATTAATTTCCTCAGCTCTATAACGTGTGCTATTTCATCTCCAACTGCCACGAGACAGATTTTCAGCTTAGCGTCGACTGGTGAGATGTGTTAATTAACTGGAGGTATTTTCATAAGCTCAAAAAATCCATCTCGTTTTCGTTTTTCGTACGATCTACTTCAATGTGAATGCAATAAAAAGAATCAAAGATATATTAATCCGATAAGAGAAGCAGATGTAATCTTCGTGTTCATATCAACCAGATGCAGAGGCAGGATGACTGATGCGAGCAGCATGCTTCTCACGTATTCGTTAGAGACAGCAATGCCCAACGCGGCATAAAAAACACCAAACATTGCTTGCCAAACATGTTTATGTTGTTAATTTCCTCGTTTTTCACGAGGACGAAACGCGACTTTGTTTCCATTTTCACAGCACCAAGGCGGTTGGTAGCCTGAGCTTAAAAACTTGAATTAATTAACATCGGTTCAAATATCCCACATGACTCGAAATATTGCATTAAAAGGGGTAGCGTGCTGTCAATCGTTTATTGCAATATCAAGAGAGGCCTTGCAACCGCAATATTGCTTGCATGTTTTTGCTGTCAAATATCCCACACTTTATAACAATTGAAAAGCACATTGTCAACCGGATGTATTAACGCTTAAATCCTGTATAGAGAAATTGAAAATATTTTTTCTTAAAGTTTTTTTAAAGCGTCAATATTACTTTCATTTTTTTTCTGTTCCGCATCTTATATTTCATATGCATATCATAATATACTCTGCATGTGGAGGCTGGTAGTGGTGTACATTTTTTCGTTAACGAATGTGTGTTTTTATGGAATAAAACGTAAAATGTAGACAGGTTTATGAATATATAATAACGGAATAGAGTTGTTTATGATTTACTGGTTCAGATGGGCCCCGTTTCATTTCAAACGTCCCAAGTAGTATATCAAACAAGCTATGCATAAACTTTTGTTTACTTTCAAGTGAAAGAGAAAGAAAATTCAGTGCCTGATTACATATTCACCTGTCGTATGTCAGGTCATAGGTCAATCTGTGTCATGGGTCATATCCTGACATCTATCAACAATCATTAGCGACCTTTCTTACCTCCGTGTACAAACACACAACGAATAGTAAGTAATTAGTGACCACTGTTTGTTTAAGCAGGGACTGACCTACGGGTGCCACTGACCACTGGCGATGCCACGGCTTAGTCAGCAAAATCCGACCAGTGGGCTCAGTACACTAACCTGCTACAAATCACACTTGTACAATAGGTTTAAGGTCACAGGCAACGAGCTTTAATTTGCCCCGCGTTGTTTAATGTTTGTGTAATCTGTCACAACAGACTGACTGACTTAGTGACAGTATAAACAATTGGCTAATTACAGTAAGCAAAATGAAATCTATGTAATCAAATCTGCAAGGATGCTGGATTATAATCCGACTACTTTGATTAGAATCTTCTAATTTGTGTTGACACGGATTTGTTTTGAATCGGTCTAAAATAACATTACAAGAAAATACTTGCACCTTTCAAAATTTTAATATCTGATTATGTATTCTGAAATTTAGTAACATGTCCTATCCATCATGCAGTAATAAATTTCAAGGAAGTGGTCTCAGGCCCGTTTAACGTTCGTAAATGTGTTTTATTATCATAATCAATCTAGAGGACAGAGATAACTTAATATCTACAAACACACAAATTTGATTTGTTTTACACATTATCTGTACGAATGGCAATGAATTGTCTGTCATACAGACCCTGAAACTAATATATATACCCAGTGTGGCCCATGCAAGTCTAAAATATGTGACAAGTTTAGATTACCGAAGTATCTTGAAGAAGATATGAACTCCTTTGTATTATATTTTATGACTGTAATATAGAAACCGGTTTCTATGTACAATGTGTTCATTTCATAGACTGGATCTTAGGCCAGCCAAAAACCACTTTCGTTTACCACTTGTTGTATAGAATTATTAAAACCATATGAGGGTTGGCGATACGAGCGCAGATGAGTCCAGTATGAATTCTCATTTGAGGAAAGTATGTGTCTATAAAACACTGACTAAAAATTAAAATAATTTGACGATTATTTATATGTGTTCCCAACTGCGAAACGAACGAAATTCCTCTTTCACTTTAATCACAAAATGACAAACGGTGTCTTGGAGTCTCTTAATATTAGATGTATCCAGTCAACGTTTCTACCCGCGATTTGTCGCCTCATTTTTCGCTAAACCCGATTTCCTCCACTGGTCTTATCGTCATATGGACGATACCCCAGCCTACTGATAATAATCTAACCGATCCACGCTCTAAATCTCTTCAGACTGAACTGGGTATTCATCCAACACAACAGACAATAAGCCAAGCTGGGAAGTTTTCCAAATTAGGCCGTATTCAGTTGGTCTTACACAGAGATGATGTCGCCTGTCATTGTATGGGGCATTCGTTACCTGCAGGGCTAAAACAAGAGCTATATTTTCCTTTCAAACATGTAGGTTGTCTACGATAGTTCCAGCTTGCTACAGGTGGGAGACGAAATTGACACCGGTAGCCGTGGTATAGTTACACTAAGCAAAGAAGGCGGGGAGATGATGGCTGAATTGCAATTAATGTGGCCGTTCTAGCGTGGTCAGGCGGTACGAGAGAATGGCAGTCGTTCGTTGGTTGAAGGGACGGGGTAATTGACAGTTGGTGCGCATGCGTTGTAGGGATTTTCACACGGAGGGGAGTAGTGTCAACACTCAGGGAGGCTTTTGTAGCAGACGCTCATTGAAAGCAAACTGCGACATGGGGTAGAGAAGCCGTTGGGAGCTCGATAACAAATGACATTCACACGTTCACAGTGGGACTGACATTGTTTTTCCAATGTATCTTTTCAGATAACGGATTGGAAGAAGATGATGGGAGTATATATGGAGTAAGGAATGTTGCAAGGCAGTGAGTGAAGGGACGTTGATCAGGTGAATCGGGACAGCTACCTGGAGCAGACGACAGTGAGAGAGTCCACCACACCGGTCAGCGTGTTGTGAAGTGGACAGTGTGTTGGGATACAGGGATGTTGTGACCACGGCTTGGGTGTGAGTAGTGACTTGATTGAGTGAACAGATCTCCCGCTGATCACAAGCCCTAAGATAACAATACTGCAAATTAGTTCAAACTGACGAACGTGGATAAGGTTGTGATAAACTGTCAACCTTTGTCATTGAGTGGACGAGATCATACCTGGGCACGGATATAAACCATCCCAGTTTAGATTCCTCCATACATCAGTGTTGTACTTTGGAACGCGCGTGAACAGTCGAGCAGACGACACTTCAGCTGTCAAAGATACCAGTGACTTTATTGAGTATTTATATCAAACTGTCAGTGAATTTTCCCCACACAAGATCACGCGCTGATACAGAAGAGGAAGCAGACGACAGTTGATCTCCGGAACAGACGATATTCACACGAGATTGGAATAGCGTTACAACGTCCTTCGTTATGACGAAGTCTCGGTGACAGTTACGTGATGGAGTGTGCTTGTACCGGACAGAATTCCTAAAATCGTATTCGAGGGAAACAGGAGTGTTTCGCATCCTTGTGATCTGAACTAACTGTCATCCGCGGAATCTCGAATTCCGCTTTCTACTTAGTGGTTTACCGGATAATGAGGTTTGTGGTCATCGTCATGACAGGAATCGGATTCACCTTCGGCGTCATCATCGGCCTTTTCGTCCAGCTTCCAGTGGACACCTTACCTGCCGACAACAACTTCATCGGTTCAAATGGAATCCTTCGTCACCGGAGAAGCCTTCATGGACTCGATTCACCCCAAGGCCAGTATACCCTGTCCAGTGATACGAACGCAGACAATGAGAGAACTTTATCTAAACCAATTCCCATCCGTTCGCCTGATCAGGAAATCGGACTGGGTAGCCTTGTGCACAATGCAAATAATATTGGAAGAAAAGACTCCGCTTTCTTTGATGTGAATGAAAACCAACCAAGCAGAAATTCGGATCAGGTGCAATCGAACTTTGGGCAGAGTAAACAGGAGAGTAATTCAGTACATTCCGCGGGGGACAGGTCGCCCGGAGGAAGGGTGGATACGGGCGCTTCCTTAACCAAGAACCAGGCGTCGGTGTCACTGAGAGTGAAGGTCAAGTCGAACTCAAAAGTTGCAGCGGCTATGGAGAACAATTCAAAAGCTAAGGCCCCAGTTGATGGTGATCAAGTACTGGGTTTAGCCCCGATGACATCGGGCATTCACTGGGCGCGAGATCTAGAGAGTCAGTGTCCAAAGGGATTTACCAAGACTGATTCTGATGCATGGAGGATTAAGTCAAAATCTGCGTCTATTGTGAAGATGGAGGAGGGTTGTGGACGTATGCAGAACCGCCTGGTTACGTTTGATGACGCTTCTAAAGCGTGTGTGAGGTACAGACTCAACACAGACCAGATACAAGGGGAGATATACTCCTATTACCTTGCCAAGCTTCTAAATATGACCAACCTACCCCCATCTTCCCTCCACAGAGTGGACAGAGTGAGTGACCAGTGGAAGGCCGTCCATCTGGATATAGCAGACTCTATGTGGGCTGACGGTAAGGTGGTCATCCTTACCGAATGGGTGGACAATCTAAACCCTGCGTACATTCCCGAACCCTTGAAAGAGAATTCAAGGAAAATTCACCCTTCTGATGAAATGTGGAGAGGTAAACCTCTCAGTCATGTGTGTGATTTAATGCAGTGGTCAGATTTGATTGTGTTTGACTATCTGACCGCTAATCTTGACCGTATGGTCAACAATATGTTCAATCGCCAGTGGAACGAACAAATGATGAATAATCCAGCTCATAACCTTGAGAGAGCTCCATCGGGGAACCTTCTCTTCCTGGACAACGAGTCCGGACTTTTCCATGGATACCGTTTATTGGACAAATACACGGGGTATCACTCCGCACTGTTGAAGTCACTATGTGTCTATAAACAAAGCACCGTGGAGGCTGTGAAAAAGTTATATAGAAATGACAATATAGGAAAAGAGCTTCATAGACTTTTCTCAGAAGAAGAGACATTGCATTCCTCCTTGCCGGATATCCCACAGAAAAATATCAAAATATTGAAAGAACGCTTAAAAGACGTTTATAACCAAATTAGTCAGTGCGAGTTGCAGTACGGCAGCTAACTATTGTGATAATAATTACATTAAGCCTCTCATACACGACTGGGGGTATACTAAATACGTAGTCCTGTTAGTTCGTACAATACTGCAAGTATTAATACTATCAGGGACTAGAGTATGCCAGTATTAACTGTTCTTTGTGTGTCTCGATTGTATCATCCTAAATTTAAAGTGCACCTAAGTGAAATATGTGCTATGTGGTTTAAGTGCTAATACTCCTAGTCGTGAATGGGTGGTAATGTTACGATGACGACCCTACTGTCAGCCGGGGGTGAGGCGACAGGGTGAGGCAGTGTAGTAAGTTTATTCCTGTGGGTGAGGCGAGCACATTACCAGCACCATAAAGCTTTTAATTTAAAAAAAATCATTTGTATTTTCCTTGTTTTATATTTACCAAATTTCGATGCAAATGTACATGATGAATGTACGTGGATTTTGTTGTAATGAAATTTCAAATATTTAATGTTCTCGGTGACTGTTAGATATCTCGCATTCCACTGATACGGTATCTGTAATGTGTATCGGCGAGATCGTGGACTGTGTGATACATAGCCGTTCTTGATGGGCAGCAGCATGCTCTATATGAGCCTGATATGTGTGCGTGACACTTGCCTCATCTTCAGGTGATAAGCTAGATGGTAACGGGGATACAAGGGCTATTGTGATGATAACAAGCGATATCAAATATTAGCAGAGTGCAGTGATATCCCAGTAACAGTCTCACTGTAACTTTAACGTGATAAGTAAATACTCACTCCAGAAGTCGTTATAACGACTAAGATATGTTCCGAAGTCTGTTTGGTCATATTTAAAACATTTTGTTAATTTTCTTTTCTGATTTGAAACCATATTGTGTAATAACTTTCATTTAATGAATTCTTATATTATATTTCATCATTTTCACAGATAATATGTCATGGTCAGGAATTGCGATATATTCCATGTGACTTGTGTGTCATGATTTTACAGTTTTCGAATTTAAGTATCAAATAAAATTAATGTAAATTAAAATTAGTACTGTAAAAATATCAATTGAAATTACCTCTCATTATCTTGCTTTTTAAATATACGCAGACATTGCAAAATAATGTACATCACGTGGTATGTTTGGATATTATCTGTTGATGTTATTATGAATTGTAGCTAATTGCTACATTGCTAATTACATGCTAATTACGAATTGTTACTAATTAGCTATGTCTGGTCACCCCCGAACAGCATTATCTCACCACGCCAGCTCGTGGTATGGGTCGTAATCCTCAAGTCTGTGATTGTACAAATACAGGAATTGCATTCCAAATGTCTCTTTCATTCCAGTCATTGTATATAACATGTCATAATGTCTCCAAGAGAATTGTATATATGTATATCTTTATGGGGGTACAACGTACTTGATGACAATCAGAATTCTGTGAAGGAAATTCCTTCACGCCTCCTGCAAGTGATGAAAGTCATAAAATAAATTATTTTTAAATAATTATATCTTTGTTTGAGTCTACTTCCTGTTGAAATTGATTGATTGATATGATTCACTGCACCAAAATGTTAATCCGAAAAAAGGTATAGTTGCAATCTATAAAATGCAGTCTGTTTTACTATATGTTCTGTTTAGCCAACGTTAGTTTATAGCAGTGTGTCACAAAGAGCATGGACTCAGAACACATTGTTTTATAGCAGTGTGTGGGGGCGGTGGGGTAGCCTAGTGGTTAAAGCGTTGGCTCGTCACGCCGAAGACCCGGGTTCGAATCCCCACATGGGTACACTGTGTGAAGCCCATTTCTGGTGTCCCCGCCGTGATATTGCTGGAATATTGCTAAAAGCGGCGTAAAACCATAGTCAGTCAGTATAGCAGTGTATCACAAAGAGCATGGACTCAGAACACAGTGCTTTACACCTGCTAACCACGTTACACATACTTACACATCAGTGTTAAAACACACACAGATGCCACATTGGTATGTAACGAAACTTCGGATAAGTCGAAGTGAGGGGAGAGTTCCAGTATGTGAAATTAAATCGTTTATATATTTAAATAAACATTCAGTGGTGTCCACGTATATGCAGTGACTTGTGTAGATCGATGCTCATGCTGTCAATCACGGTCCAGACTGGTACAGGAAGCCGTTATCTAGTTGGAATATTACAGCGTTAAACAACAAACCGATAACTGACTGACTGAGTTTAGTTTTACGCCGCTTTTAGCAATATTCCATCGACATCACGGCGGGGGGACACCAGAAATGGGCTTCATACATTGTACCCATGTGGGGATTCGAACCCGGTTCTTCGGCGTGACGAGCCATCGCTTTAACCTCTAGGCTACCCCACCGCCCCAACAAACCGATAAACAGAAGGAGGAAGGATGTGTTTCCATGTCACATATTTTATTTTGTCAGTGAGTGAGTTTGGTTTTACGCCGCTTTTAGCAATATTCCAGCGTTATCACGGCGGGGGACACCAGAAACGGGCTTCACACATTGTGCCCATGTGGGGAATCGAACCCGGGTCTTCGGCGTGACGCAGTCCTTGGGCCTTAAAACAAATACACCCGCAAAACAACATTTAAATCAGTTTCATCCAAGATCGTTCGATACAAACCCATTACATTGTTAATATTATTTGTAATATAATCTATTTGCTGTTGATTAAAACAACGTGTACAGGGTTTTCCATCGCTATCTGGCAATAGTTTTCAAACACCAACGGTCTCGTTGAAATCGGATTTCACAAGTTCCAAGCCCTGAAGGCGCCGAATCAAATAATTCCAGCGAAAGAAGCCCCAGGTGCGATGTCGTGAACACAAGGTTGAACCCGTGCAGTTATTTGAAAAGTAACAAACATTTGATAGCAGCGTTTAACCAGAAACGCCGCATTCCTACATCCCGGGAGAGTGAAAAGATGCTAAACGGTCTTAGGTAACTGGAAGTGGGATCTCGATGTAATTTGAACAGTGCGTAATTTCAAGATTTGTTGTTTCGAGATGATGGGCTAGTCAACCATCGTGTTCTCCAAGCTGTAAAACAAATTATCTCGATCAGGTGATATGGCCGATCTGTCAAACTAATTTTCACGAAACAGCGACAGAATAGACACGTAATACTGGAAACGAAATATAATCATATATGTGGAATTTTTTAATATCTCAATTTCATTTAATTTATTCGAATAGTAATAATAACATTGGGAGAATACAAAACAAGGAACTGAAAACATATGAATCATGAAGTGCAGAATTCTTTTCATTTTTTTACTAGATATTTGAAAGGGTGTATTTGAGTTATGTTGATATTGACTCAGGTATCCTTTGCAATTAAAACAAGACACGATCAATTCCTATATAATTGAACAAGTATTGTAATATTTACCTAAATGGCCATCGTTCACTATGTCTTCAAATTTGCACTGTCTCAGACATGTACATTTCAGCCTGCAGATGTCTATTTCTCTCCGGATGTGTGATATTCTCGTGTTGAAAGGTATGTCAAAACAAACACAACGGACTGAAATGAACACAGGTATGTTTCAATCGCATCCCACCCTATGTTAAAACTTCGATTTTTCTTAATCTCAGCCGCAGCTGAGTCGGATGTGTTGAGATGTGTTGTTAATGTCAACACGGTGTTTGTGAATCGCACTTGGGTCGCTAATAAAACTCTCCAGTGTTTCAAGACAAGTATTTTCAGGAATATGTACATATGGCATAATATCGTATTTGTGCGTATTCGACCTACAGTTCTGGGGCGATGGGGTAGCCCAGTGGTAAAAGCGTTCGCTCGTCACGCCGCAGACCTGGGTTCGGGTCCCCACATGGGTACAATGTGAGAAGCCCCTTTCTGGCTCGTTAATTCGAACAACTGCGATCCCGAAATACCGTCTGTGAGGGCGCACATCGTTGATAACAAGACAATACGCTATGTTTCTCATCGATCTGTACACAAATCATCTGAAACGGTGCCGAGGGGTTAAAGTTTCATTCTTCACGCCGAAGACCCCAGTTCGATTCCACACACGGATACAGTGTGTGGAGCCCATTTCTGGTGTCCCCTGCCGTGATATTGCTGGAATACTGCTAAAAGCGGCGTAAAACCATATTCACTCACTCATACAGTTCTACACTGACGGACAAAAGAAAGTATACACTGATGTATGAAAATGAAACAAAAAGGTAATGGGTGGTGATGTATTTGACACGGATGTCACTGGTCATGCCGATGATTCCGCCAACCTATAACGTATATATTTTTGGAAAAGCACATTTCTAAGTGTATGCTTTATTTTTGTTAGGCAGATTAGTGTAAAATTAATACATAGATTTGTGACGACAGCGTAGAGACAGTTGACACGTAGTTCATCATTGGGTTCATGGTACATATGTAGGTCGAGTGTGAAGGCCTATTTCCTTCTTATAAATGATACGCAATTGATTGTCGTTTAACGTCACGGTCAGTAATGTTCCAGCTATCGTCCTACGACCTATATAAAATTGAATCTGTGTTAATGTGTGATATTATGAGTATAAGTCTACGTACAATGGCATACTGTACAGAGATTGTACATCTAACCTCTTACAACATACATGTTTCTGGGGACCAACCGAAACCCAGCACATACACACAGTAACATACACATGATCTTCATGTGGCGCAGCCATTTTTGGAATCGAACATGGGTTTTGTAAACACATGCTATACTTGGGGTTCTATTTTCTCAATAAAGTACAGATCCTAGGACTGCGCAATATAACCGGTTTACCGGTATTTACCAGTTCAGACATGAAAACGATACGTATTGCGATACGCTGATCGAAAACCGGTATTTTGACTTGCATTCGGAAAACTTCGTAACACTCGGAAATCTTCGGATATTTCCTTTTTTAATTTGTGCCAAATGTTATTCACACTTTCATTTTAAATCATGAATAAAAGTTGTTATTAAAGCTTAATCAAGCATAGTGATTTTGCTGTGTATTTGCTCTATAAATCAAGCATTACCTCGATTATAAGTAGTTTTTTGTGTAAAAATACTTCACGCAATATATTGCAATACATATCGCAATACATGCTTTCGCATCGCAATATATCGCAATATGAAAATTCTCTGCAATACCCACCCCTAACAGATTCTAGTACTTTTATTGGGTAGAGTCCCACACGGGATTCGAACCCACATCCTCAAGGTCAGGCACCAAATCGCCAGCACACAAAGTCAGCCGTCTAACCCACTCAGCCAACGCAGATAGTGCAAGCCCAGATATGGCATGTGTAACATTTGACCACTTTCTAAATGGCATTGTGTATTCACTGGACTTTATTACTTACAGACGATCTCACCACCTACAAGACTGTAGTCCGAGTGAAAATCACTCGATAGCATGTTATCGATCGAATACAGTTCACAATTTGCAATCTTTGGCAAACTGGTAATATTTAGTAGTTGATGAAGACAAACGTTCAAACAATTGGCAAACAGAGTCTGATGATGCTGTCATGTTGGTTTAACCAGAGACCATTAATAAACTTATTATATTCTAAACTGATTGTTTGTCTTGAAGGGAGCGACAATTCACCTCTGCTGTGACATTTTTGTCACAGTTAGACTTCAGATACCAACATCAGGTCAACCTCAGCAAGACTGATTAAATCTTATCTCATTTCAAAATATCTCTCCATTGTATACCTGGTGTCTATGACGATTTTCGTGTACATGGAATAGACGGTAGCCTTATATTCCTCGAGATAATGGTGCACAGGCTATCATAACTGTCCCGTCTATCAAGTACGTGAACAAGCCTAATGACAGACAGCCTCGTTGTTGTATCTACCCCCTACGCTGTATCTGTCAAATATATCCTGGCAATATCCCCGGTTATCTTCGAGTGCTCTAATGTTGCCTTTGCTTCCGACATCACACGGCGGGACATAGCACGAGCTTTCCGAGCTCCCCGCATAATAGGGCGGTCACGTGGAGCTTTTGTGGATTCACAATTGTTACATGCCCTGAAAACTTGCAACTGTATATTGTTTTCTTCCCATCGGGACATCGGGGCATCGCATAGTCTCGCAATGCTGCTACCGACACCAACATGTTTTCATTGAAAGAATAGAATTTAGACACGCTGCAAGGAGCTTGATCACTGCACGTGAATCACCGTGCAATGTGTGCCCGAGAAATCCGTGCAGTCTCAACTGATGACAGCTATAGTGGTTTCTTCACGTTGAGTTATTTCAACGTGGTTGTCAATTTCTCAATTTGATTGATGGGTCAATTTGATACAGACGCGTTTCAATCCATTTCAAAACCATTTCCTCAAACGTATTCATCATCGAGAAATGACGCTGTGTCACCCGATTAACACTCGCACTTTCCGCTTGATATACCGCACACACTGGGGTTATTTCAAATATCCCCAGTCTTTTGTTTTGAAAATATTGTCAGTTAACCAACAGACAGATCTCTAAATGGATATGAATGGTTCAGTCG